GTCCTTGTAATTGCATATACTCAGGCACTTTATTTGCAAATCCACACAGGATACAGCAGAAAATGAAAAACAAAAGTAACAGAAAACCCTATAAACAAACACCTAGCTCGTCTGAGCACTAACTGACATTAGTTCCCTATCTCTCAGGGTTAAACTAAACACAATATTGCACCAACCTTATTAGTTAGCAACACTCTGCTGCCTAGCCTGTTGCATTCCTTTCTGCACTCCCAGTGCTCCAAGCCAGCCTTGCCCTGACTGCTTTGCTTTCTGCACTCCCAGTGCTCCAAGCCAGCCTTGCCCTGACTGCTTTCCTTTCTGCACTCCCAGTGCTCCAAGCCAGTCTTGCCCTGACTGCTTCCTTTCTGCACTCCAAGTGCCTAGTCACCTTGACTATCTGGAGAGAACAGCCTCTCTCTCCTACCTGCTTCCTGGGAGGAAGCCAGCAATCCCTCTCTTTTTTCCTGCCTAGCCGGGAGGAGTTTATTCCCACTGCAACAGCTGATTTACCTGCAGCTGAGCAGTGGGTTGGAGACAGTCCAAAAAACCCTGGCCTGGATCTAGGTCTCCCCAGAACACCAATAAACTGTGGAGTGGAGCATTGGCCCACCCTTCTCTCCAAATGCTCCACCCCAGGGGCCCATAACTAAACAGTGTTTTGTGTTGCCTACAACACATCTTACACATACTCCCCCTGGGGTTAAAAGGCCTATCTGCCTTCACTTTATTACACTATGTATTAAAAAAAACGGTTGGATTAGTTTTACCACCACATTTAGAGAATTGGGTTCTCTGTGCTGGTGGGAACATATAACCAGTGATAGAGCTAGAGGTGGAGTGAACGAGTGCTTGGTAGTGTTATTAGTGGTGGTAACTGGTGAGTATGAGACAGGAGGTAAGTGTAAGTAACTTACAAAGGGTATGTGACATGGCTAGATGTATGTGGTGATCTGCATGTGATTGGTGGTGGTTTATATAATCACCACTTGTCGTACAAATTCACCTATCATCTGCCCACCACCATTATTTTGCACCCACTCTAACCAATGACCAGATTGTCAGCCTCCTTTTCATACTGGTAGTAGTTGAGAACCCACCATGACACAAGGTTACCAGTTTATGCAGCCTAGAGCCTTTGCATTTCACAGCAGTCACACTTATCCAGGCTGCAATGAGATGCAGCTTGTAGAGGTTTGAATATTTCAGCAGTGTATTTCCTATGACTATTCCAGTTGCCAGATTGCAGACTTCTCTCTGTACACACCTTTGCTCTAAATTTCTCCTACGTTAGAGACAGATTTTCTACATTTCAGTTATGGATCTATAGTGAGATTCTAGAACCTCTCACACGTTCCTTGGGTAGGAGAATAGATAAGTACATGGCCATATGTCTACAGCGGGTTGAACTCCTATACTCGGCTGTTTCTGAAGATTTGTACTGATCCGGTTATTTATCAGTCCTTGAAGTTCAAAAATAATATTGTTTCTCACTTTTGCCTTTCTTAATTCTTCCCGTTTATAATAATTTTCTCTTCTTTTTTGTTTATTTCCTGGATTGCCTCCTACTTCTGACCATTTTTTAAACTTCTTTTTTAATCATTTTTAATGCCCCTGTCATGGCATAGCATCACTTTAAAGAAAATGATTTGTTGTACTAGCCAAATTGATTTCAAATTTAAAGTTATTCAGCTATCCGTTGACTTGGGCTCAATGGCTTTACAATTGAAGTGATGATTGTGCGTGTTTGCTTCCTTTAAACTTTTCAGAAGAAGGGGTGGGTATGTTGCACGTATCTGCTCGATCTCATCCAAGAGTACCTGCTCTATGTGGAAGAAGCAAGCTTCATATAATAATATATTTTTATCTATGCACTCACAGTGCTGAGATTGAACATATACCTAGATGGACATAAACTTGTCATCCACATGATGAATGAGTGCAGTATTCTACTCTGAGGCAATCCAAGGGGCAGAATGAGCACAGCAAACAGCTCCGAGATAATTCAAAAAGCAGAATGAATAGAGTAATCTATTCTGAAACTAGTCCAGGAGGAAGAATGAATATGATAAATAACTCTAAGCCAATCAGAGGGCAGAATTAATATAGTACTCCACTCTGAGCCAATCCAGGTTCAATCAAGTAAACAAGCCTCAGCCAATTCAGGATTCAGAATGAATACAGTAAGCTAGAGGTGGGAAAGTGAATAATATCGACCTATTCTGGGTGAAAGAATGAATATAGCACATCACACAGAGCCAATCTGGGGTGGTAGAATAACTATAGTAGTGGTATAATAGTGTTGCAAGTTATTAGAGAAAACAAATCTAAACCAGTCCAAGGACAAAATACATACACTATACATCTACATAGAAACAATATAGGGCAAAACAAACATACGGTAAAGAAATTACTTTTATTCAATCCAGTGGACATATTGAACGTGGCAAACTGTGGGGTAATTTAAGGCAACACAATATATATAGTAATTATGTCACAGCAAATCAACAAAACTCCCACATTTCTCAGCCATCAGAGAATTGCGTCACGGCCCTAATCGAGAACGGTCTTATTTGTCAGCCATCCAGAGAAATTGCTCCAGATTCATTTACAGCACAACGCACAATAAAACAAACACCCTGAAACTAAACGAAGGGAATGAAGACACTTCATAGAGAGCATCATATGCAGCAAGGGATTCTGGGATGTGGCATACAAATAAAGAACATTTATAACCTTTGGCGGATATATCCATGTTAACTAGGAAGGATAAAGCAGCAGTGAAATTGTGGTTTAATAAAGAGGTATATCAGGGAAATTATAAACCCTTGCTAATGCAGGGTACATTCAATGTCACACTGAGCCTAAAAAAAAGCAGCAAAATAGGTAACATCTTGTTATACGAGTTAATCATAGCATGATGCCAGCCTTGCAAGGTCAGTGTTTAAAATGCAAAGTATGCTGAAAACGACACACTGCTTGTGGTCGGCCACAACCCAGAATTCTCCTCTGCATCTAAACTACTGATTAGCAGAGAACAGATAGCTGGGTGAATACTCTATTATTTTAGCTCATCGGTGGGAGAAATAGGTTTGTTGCCAGTCAAGCTCAGATTTTATAAATGAGTGCAAAAAAAAAAAAAAGAAAAAGAAAAAAAAAAGCAACTGCTAATTCATTCAGAATACAAAAATAAAAATCCAATTTAGCTAACAAGCATTAAAAAAACAAAACAAAAAAAACCGAACAAATAAAAAATGGAATAAATAAACTAACAAATGAACTAATGCATAATCACCCGCTTCAAATGCATAGCAATTCAATACAAACCAATCTCTAGGGACTCCTTCCAGACCAAGATGTACTGACACGCTGCTTGTACTTGGAATATGCTTGACAGTGATTCACTTGTCTGTAAGTAGGCAGGGTTATAGTATTTCTGATGTAGCCGTGGCCCTTTGGCCTCCAGAATAGCATGGGGCAAACAATGTATCTGGTTGTGTCATGTAACCCTCCTTTTAGCAAATATAAATGTCAGTATTCTGGGGTTTTTTTAAGATACATTTTTTTTCCAAGTGCTTTGGTGTTAAAGAATGCTAGCTTTCAGTGTTCAGAACTCTTTACTGACATTTCATTTTAGGTTTTATTTACTAAACAGTGACCTGTGATGGTGTTTATTTACTAAAACTGGACAATGAACTCAGCTGTAATATTAATTGAGCTGGGTATTATAAAGAAGAGACAGGGAAATTTTACTTTTTTTTTTTTTTTTTAACAAATTAATTTAATAGTAATAGATCTCAATTTAATATTTTTGGATACACTTTTTTTCTTTCAATGATTGAATATTTTTGGATAAGTGTGTAAAATAATTGAATTTGATATATCGATATATTTTTTTTAAATGATATATTTTTTGATAATTCTATAATTGAAAAATAAAAATCCTTTAAAACATTTATCAAAAAATATTAAATTATTTAAAAATCTTATAAAAAATTATTAAGTTGAGGTCAGAGTCAGAAAAATAGCATAAGTTGTTAAAGTTTATCAAATTTAGTAAAACTGATAAAATTATATGTTTTTTTTCCAACTATTATTTTCCCCAACATTTTGCATTTGCTAACTTCACGGTTTAGGAAACAAACCCCTTTATTGAACGTTTCTATGTAATTCTCTGTACATTATTCATTAACTTGAAATGAAGATTTATAGAAAATGTTTTTAACACAATGTAATTTCTCCAATCTTTTCAGCCTTTCGCTACATCTTCTCTTCTTTTGTCATCATAGAAAAGGCTTGTTTCAGCAAGACTGTTGAAACATCACAGTTAAGTACTATTTGATTGTATTTGTACATTAAATAACTCTATTCTAAATGTTGTAACACAAAAAGGACCATACATAAGTGTTTCATTCTGCATTCTCAACCTAGTGAACAATTTTCCATACTCTCAAGCTAATTAGAATTTTTTTTTAAGCGTACAATTATTTTTCTCTATAGAATGACTCAAGACAAAAGAGATATGTATTCAATAGTTATATAAAAAAATATAAAACTGTGAGAATATGCTGTTGCAAAGAGTTAATCTGTATGCAATATGGCTCCAATCTGGTAAAACTGTTGGCCAGATTGTTGTACCTAAATCTGGGATAATTTTTTTTAGAGACTGACTGGGGGTTGCTAAAACAGATGTTTCATAACTATATTATACAATCACATTTTTGTATCAAACTTGAATAGGTCATTTTCCTTCATTTAATGTCACTGATATGTGATCTATGTTTAACCATAACAGATCATTTTCCTCCTTTGAATATCACTGATATTTGTATATATCTAATTTTTGCAGATCGTTTCCTCCATTTCACAAAAAGACCACTCAACAGTCCCAATTTAGGTGGAACCGTCACGATTTTAGAAATCTGGCCTAAATGCTCTGTCAAGAAAGCCATCTGTCCCACTTTTTATACAAAATCTGCTTCTTTCAAAGCATTCGCTTTATTGAACAATCTCACCGACACCGCTACCCTGGAGATACAAGAAGAACCACTCCCGCGAGAAGTCAGCCATGTTCCACAGACACTGCACAAATTAACAAGCGATGATGTCATCGCCCTGTGTGTACAGAGTGAAGCAGGGCTCTGCAAGGGTAGAGATAAACTGTATTCATTGAAACTGTTGCAGATTTTGGGAAGTATATGTTATGAACCAATGTTAGAATTGGATACATTGTTTATTTAGTGTGTTATATGTCCCACCTAAGAGTTATTTAATATGTCGAGGGTAATTATTTTTCATTGTTTTAGTTGAAGCAAAACGAACGTACTAAGCTCTTGGGCATAACTGCTGGTTCGTGATTCTTGTACATTTTGGCTAAGAGTTTGGTAATTTGCTTGATCACCCTATCGACACAAATTTGAATGAATTGCAGTTCAGACCAAAACAAATCTTCAAGTCTAGTCTCAACCTATCTTTATCTTCTAGACTATAAGTTCATTATCACTTTCTGATGCATCTGTATATCTAAATAAAAAAAAGTGCTGTCCTGCATTCTAATATTCTACCAAGCTGAATAATTAGTATTATGAAATGACAATAATAAATAATAGCTTTAGATACATCTAGTTTAAAGATGGAAAGTTTAGATGTTTATTTTTTTGGCTGAAATATGTAGAAAGAAATTGGCAGAAAAATCCCAATTTATTTATCTGCCAGTAAATGTTAAGCATTCGTGACTCCCAGGTTAGAGAGATCCCTGAATTAATTAGGTGTTAATTAGCTTTCTGTGGGATGATTAAATTCAGTGGATGGTGGGAAAGAGGGATCGGAGAGTAAATCAAGGAGAGGACACGAAAAGATGGAGAGATACAATATTGTGGAGGATGGATGGATACCAAGAAAGAAAGATGGGGGAGTGGATAGAGCTTCAGAAGTGAGATAGTATCCAGTATTAATACAGAAAGAGATTTATTCGTTACACTGAGAGCTGCGGAGAAATGACAAGGGAGATACACATTTAGGCCGAAATAGTCTAGCTGAGAACAAAAAAAGACGGCTGAACTTTTTTTTATCCAATTCAGCTATTTTGACCTAAACTTTGCTATCACCTTGTCAAAATTCACCTAAGCTCTGTTTTGTGGAGTTGTGGTCCCCTTTGTCAGGCCAGTGAAACCTGCAGATGATGGAATTAGCTACCGATGGAAGAATAAAGACAAATGGCTTCTGTATAACAGACTTAATGTAGAAATGCAGATCTAGTTTCTATTATTTTTAATGAATTCAGCTTCTCCAAGAGATTGGCAATGGGTGCTGTAATGTTTTTATCAAGCACCACATATGTGAAGTTTAAAACAGTTTGAAAAACCATGGGAGAAATTTTATCAAAGTGTTCTGAAAAGTGTCTTTGCTTTAATCTGTCAGTATTTACTACATTATTTTTATTTTATTTTTTAACAATTATTCAAAGTAATATCCATTTTAGAAAAAGCTACCAAACTAAAAAAAAACAACAAAAAGTGAAATAGAATGGTTTTGTAGTGGAAAAAGAAATAAATCAAGTTGATATGTCATCAAAACAATAAGAGTATTCAAAAGAAGGCGGCCCAAAAGAGACAACATACACAATTTTTTTATATGTTTTAGTAAATTTCACCAAAAACTACCAAAACCACCAGAAAAGGCACAAAACTGTATACAACACTATAAATCTCTATAGCCATAATACGTCTCCTGAATGTTAATGACTGCAGTGAACTTGATGCTTTGTTTACGTGTGTTTAATTCTCTAGTGTAATTTAAGAATGGCAAATTAGCCTATTAAGGTTTTATATTACATTTTTTGTCAGAAACACAATGGCTAGTTTTATGTCAGGGATGTTTAATTCTCTTCAGAATGTCACAAGGCATAAAATCTACAAGAGTCCCCCCTACACCCATAACATGTATAACAAACACGAACAAAAAGGTTTTCTGAACTGGCTGTTGGTGTAATTTGCATTCCCACAAACGTTTCCAGTCTCCAAATTTAAAATGGATATTATTGGAATTTGTACCATTTGTTTTTTGTAAGCATGCCAAACATTTTGAAGTTTTGAATATATATAAATTTTCACCCCCACCCCTGTACCTCAGATCAATACCTATTAGAACCACTTTGGTGCAACTACAACTGTGAGTCTTTTGGGTTACAATTGTTCATCTTTTTTATTGGCAACATTTTTGACTTGTTTTGAACTTTGAAATAGAGCAGTTTTCAAACTTCTGCACGGATTCTCAGTTAGTTTGAGGCCTGGGCTTTGACCTGGCCATGCTATGATCTTCAAATCCTTGAAAACTCTTTGAAAACTCTAGTGTAACTTTAAATGTGTGTTTATTGTCATTATTCTGCTGGAAGATGACCACTCCATCCCAGCTTTGGTGTAATGGACTAAGTTTACTTCCAGTATTTGGCTCAATTTATCTACTCTTAATTCCTCTCTACTCTTAATTAATTTTTCTATCACCCGAAAATGAAATGGATTACTGAAATGTATTGTTTTGAACGTTTGGCAAACTTCTAATGGCATTTGATAGAGATGTTTAGTTCTCACCATATGTCCATGAAGACCAGCTTCATGCAACATCCAAGTAATATTTATCCCAACGATATTTTTCCAATTTGAGCTGCAGATATCTGCATCTTCTGAGCTTCTATTGACCTTGTGGGTGCCTTGTGACCCAATGCCCTCCTTACTTGGTAACTGAGTACTGGTGGATGATCTTCTCTCGGCAGAATAACAGTTGTAACATATTCTTATAATTTTTTAATAATGAATTTGACATTCCAAATTTTAAATATATGTGTTTATAACTCAACCCGGGTTGTGTAACTCTAGAAATGTATCAGGCTTTTTTTGATAGTTTCATGGTATTAATGATGTTGTTTGGCTAAATATGCTTTCTTAGAAACTCTTGTACGTTCCATGAACAAATATGTTTATTTTAAATCACATAACTGTTTGGGCCTCTGATTAACTGTTATGTGGCAATAGAAGACAGTTTGCATCATCAGAGCTTATTTAGGGGTTTCATAGATAAGGTTAGCTAATCTTTTTTTTAATTTTTTTTTAAATATAATAAGATCTACTATGCATTTTATAATTCTAATGTATCATTTGAAGTAACATTTTTGTTTATAGAACCATCACAATAACTAATAACGTTTTGGGGAAAGAATAGACAGAGTAAGACAGGACTAGTGAGAAATGGTGGTAGCTTGACGATGAATGTAAAAAGGGATTTTCGCTGAAGCGTGAATTGTTGGGCATTCACATTTTTACATTTTAGCCCAAAAGAGCAGTTAACCTATACTGAAATTTGTAATTCACTTTGATTTCCTGACAAATCGCTTCTCTTCGGAATAACCCTGATAAAGAAATAGATTTTTAGGAATATCCATGCATTAGGACGAAATGAGCACCAATGACTCATTTACTAGATCAACTTTGTTTGGGCCTAGGGCACCAATATGGAAAGTACAGTAGGCTTAGGCCTGGATTCTCTTACCGAATACACATTTTTTCATAGACTTCAATATAGAAATTGGTAAATCCTTACTCTACGAAGAGAATCCAGCCTCATATGTTAATTTTAACAGAGGTTTCTCAATGCTGCCCCCACTTTCTGGTACCTAACCAGCGTGCCAGAGCTGTGAATACATTGCCCTGCAGTTCTGAGAGCCTGATGCTTTTCAGAGGACCAAGGAAGCGAAACATTTGTTGCCTCAGTTCTCTTGTGCATGGCTGCAGGATGATGAGGCAGGGATATGACTGATGTCACGTCCCAGTGCTGTCTGTGTTAAAGGTCCCGCACAGTGTGTGAGTAGAGACAGTAAAAACCAAGAGGGCAAAAGTGTGTTTCCTTTAGTAGACCGTCAGAAATAAGCCCCATTCCTGCAAGGAAATGTAGGCAAGTGGAAAGGGGGGGGAGAGGATGGTGGGAGGCAATATAGTTTAGAAATAAAAATCTTGCTAATGAGATTAGCAGGTGGGAATGTAAAATGCCTTAGATGTAAAGGTTCTATAGATGTATGAGATTCCCCAATATGGGATATGGGATAAACTCTCAATATGAGAGTTTTATATAAACAGAGCAAAACTGAGTTTGATACAGACACAGAGACGTGTTAGGAGAGACTGACAGACATAAAAGAGACAAAAGGAAAAAGCTGAAATGACAGGGAGAGGCTGACATGAATGGTAAGGGCATAAGGCAAGACATAGCACATCAAATATACATGTTATATAGTTGCATATCTGTGCGATGCATGTGAGGGGTAATAATCCATAAATTTGCTTTAATAGACTTGGCTGGGCCTAGCACAATAAGAATGAATTACGTCACTGATAGATTCTATACATTAAAATGAATTGATCACAGAGCATTGCAGTGATCATTTACCAAAGCAGGAAACATTGAAAAATCAGTGATCCAGAACCCTGTCTTATATCAATCACTGGATGATGACTTTTGGATTCCGTGAGGTGGGTCGTGGATGTGAATTCACCATAGAAACCAGGAGGCTCAACAATCAGCATTCAAACCAGGAGCCTCCTGGGCATAACCAGAGAAAAGTCAGTCCGCTAATCACAGTGAAGTCCTTACAGACTGAGTAGCACAATCATGGATACATTCTGTTACTTCTCAATTTTATTTTTTTTCCCCTCAACCTTTTGTCTCGCTATATAAGTCACCTCTAGATTTAAAGCTAACAGGCAGAGTTTTCTTCTCCTTTTAGTACAATGACCAATGTTATTTTAGCATAATTTGTAAAGCACTCTGGATAGGAGCAGTGTATAAGAACCGTTTAAATAAATAAAAGGACAGAGTATAGAAAATGCGAAAATGAAGAAAATTAGGAGAAGGAAAAATGCTAAAAAGGAGGTTTCTTACCTTGAGTGGAAGAAGTCAATAATATGGCGGCTGAACAGAGACCCCACAGAACCAGCCAGGCCCCCGCCATACCGCTCTGCACAACCCAATCAATGAGTACTCCTCTGTAACATCACCGCACCGGCACAGGAGGTCTGTAAGACAAGGAAAGCATCCATATATATATTAGTACATTAATGGAATTCTTAATACATTATATATCTGCACCCCTAAGAAAATGCCACAAAATATAGGGGATGGGACTACCTTCTTGAGCCATTATGTGAAAACACACGCAGGAAGAGGAAAAATAAATACATTTGTAACATTTGGATCTGCTCATTGCTCCAAATGGGTATATAGACGGTTCTGTTTCCAATGTTATTACTCCCCCTTATAATAAAACCCGTATCACAAAATGTTTGTTTTAAAAGAAGTGTTACAAACAAGAAAACAAATTTAGATGCATATTGGATGTTGTGTTATCTTCATCCAAACACAAAACCTATATGTATTTGTTTTTTATGTATGTTTGCAAGTGTGTGTGTGTGTGCGTGCGTGTGTGCATTTGTGTGTGTATGCCAACCAGATATTTATCAGAAGGTTTAGTTACGGAATGGAAAGGGTTAAAGAGGCTCAGCATCTGCCATGTTGGAAGGCACAGACTGTGTGACAAGTAAGGGCAGCCCTTCCTGTCCATGTCACAGTAAAGGGGGTGACAGACTACATGTATTATATATGTGTGAGATTGCAGGCTGATGTGAAGCAGTTTCTCTCACCCTGTACCTCCTCCATCGCTCTACCCTCCCCCTATGGTATTAATGCGTGGCTTCCCAGATGCAGCTCTCCCTCATCTCTGTGTTTCCCATCCATTTCCCCCTCTGCCATCCTGTCTTCCTTCCTAACCCACTCTTCCCTTTTACTTTATTACCAGGTTAGTCTCCCAGCATACATGTCTATCTATCTATCTATCTATCTATCTATCTATCTATCTATCTGTCTGCCTGTCTCTCTCTTTCTCTCTCTCTCCAATCTATGTATCTGACTGGTGTCTGTTCGTTATTCTGTCTGTTTGTCATTCTGTTTGTGTGTGTATATTGATATTTTCCCAACTCTCTAAATGAATCTATATGGGGTTTTTTTTCTGTCATTCTGTGTGTGTTTATGACTGTCTTTCTATTTCTGTCTGTCTGTCTATTTTTGTCTACCCATCAGTCTGTATATCTCTCTGTCTGTTTGCCCTGATTTACATTTAGATAAACCGTAATAGATGTCCAGTTGCATATCACTCAGCAGGGTCGCTTTTCTTTGGCTTTTCTTTATAGTAAGTCGCTCTCCATCCATACTCTCTTTTATTTCCATCTCCCTCTTGTCTTTTAATATCCCTGCCATGCTCTACATTTCCTGATTCCAGGCTCCCTTCCCCCTTCTTTATTAATCCTGGCACGCAGCCTTTCTCTCACACACCTTTCTCCACCTCTCTCCTTCGCTGGGCTAAAATCACCACTGTTCTTGCAGCCACCACCGAGGATATCCTCTAGTCTAGAACACACATTCCTAAAGCAGCGCTACATGTACCCCTGGGGTTCTTCTGGACTATTCAGTGAGTCCTTTAAATATAATAATACTAACAGTAGGAAATATTAATATTTGGGC